CAAGGCTCCGTGCTGGCCCCGCCGGCCAGGTGCTGTCCCCGGGTCCCAAGGCACAGAGCTGGCCTCGCCGCTGCTGCCTGCGAGCCCCGAGGGCCCGACCGGTCCAACCCAGACGTTTCTGTCCTTATCAGAGGCGGTGTTGGGCCTCTGTCCACACGACTCTAAAATGTACAGAGTTTTCAGGGCAATGCTGTGCTTAAACCATTACTTTTAAAAATCATGGCCGGCCGAACCTCACGTGTTTACTCACAAATATTAAAATTTACAAAGAGGAGTATTTCTTTTTCTTGTAGGAAAAAAGGTTCAAAAAATAATATAGCGGTGTGGACTTCTGCACACACTGTGTGAAAACCAATCGTGTTTTATAGGAAAAAGGGTTTCTCTGATCCCAGGGGTTTCTCTCATTCCTTCTTCAGGTGAAGTGCTCCGGCTTACAACTACTGAGGCTTCTCAAGCCACTTTAGCCAGTGTAGCCCAGGTGTTTACTGTGGTAAGTATATAGAACATCTGAAAACTTAAAACAAGTTTGCAGGGTTGGACTGATGACTTTGATTTTAATTTTGTTGTTGTTTTGTAGTGAATGTTGTAATTCCTGTCGTCTGTGTGTGGTGCTTAACCAGTGACCTGAGTGCCTGATGGATTTGCTTAGCAGCTCTTGAAATTTTGCTAATGGCTGTGGAGCTCCTTTATCTAGAACAGATCATTCAAATCACCTTCAAAGCTTTCCAGTGAACAGTTTCCCAGGAGTCTGTTTAGAACCCCTTGAAAGCTGTTGGCTACAGAGGTACCTGAGCCCCTGCTCTGCAGAAGCACCTTGAAGGCATTACAGTACTTAGAGAGTGCATTTATTCCTAATATCATGTCTCTACGACCTCTCTGAAATGGTTCAGAGAAGGGAGGATGGATAACTAATGCAGATCTCACCTTTATGTCTTTTTTGGCCCTTAAGAAAATGTTAAAAGATAACCCAAGTGAAATCTATGTAGGAGTTGGTTATATTTTTGCAAAATTTTTTGTTGACTTTTAATTTTTTCCAGAAGTCTGATCTTAAAAATGCTTGATCTGAACCAGAGTTCCTAAATTCAAACCTTAGCTCTACCTTTGTTAACTAAATAGACTTGATCAAGCTATGATAACATCTGTGTACCTTACTTTTCACATCAGGTAAAGTAGGAATAAACTGTATAGAATTTTTGTGAGAATTAAAGTGACTTGTATGTGAAAACCCTTAAAAGGGAGCCTCATATATAAAAGCATCCAAAATTTTTAGCTGTTATGATTATTTTGGCTTATTAACATCAAAACTTTAAGATAACTCCCAGAATTACCTATAAAAGCTATTACTTTTATTCAGCATTGTGGAAAAGTTATCCAGTTTAGTTAAACAAAAATATAAAATCACATGTTATGTACTAAAATACAATTCCTTGCAGGTGAAATAATTATCTACCAGGAACACATAATAAATTCAGCTGATTCTGTTTGAAATGATAGGTTTAGAAATCAGATATTTAAAAACAGTTGTATGCTCTTTTTAAGAAAAGTATCCCATTAAAGGAAGACTAATACATAAATATTGACATACAAAAATATTTAGTATTAAAAGAAGGAGAGTGCCAAAAAGTATGTGTAATATGAATGTGTTTTGTAGGGAAAAGACTGGAAAAACTTCCAGTAAAAATATGAGTATGGTTTTCTCTCAAAGTTGTTATATCATGTGATTTAAGTATTTGTAAGTTTTACTTTACATAGTTTTCTGCATTGGATACATGTGTTTATCAAGTAAAGCTAAGGAGGAAAACTAGTCTATATTATACAAATATAAAGCTGCCTTTGATAAAAACTTACCTTTACTGTTGATATTTAGGCTACTAATGTATTCATATTGACCTTTGCTCATGAGAAGCAAGCTAAAATTTATACTGTGGATTTTTATTATTTTCTTCCTAATAGTATGCATATGTTTCCAAAGCAGTAATCCAAGATCTGTGTTGTACCTACTACAATAATTTAGAGTATATTTTTCTCAGTGTGTCTTTCATAGTAAACAGTAGAGCCCAGCACACAAATTAGTTAAGTATTATTTGACAATTTCAAACTTAACTGTTGATAAGCATTACAGAAGAATATTCCTCTACTTTACAGGAAATGAATGAATTTTTTGCATCGTGTTTTTTTCAAATTATCTGAAGAGGCCTTTTCTGTACATCTTTATTGATTCCACAGTGCCTATCAGAGAAACTTCTGAACCTCAAGTATACATTTAGATTCATGAGACAGGCCACACTTGGTACCAAGCTAATGAAAAGGATAAAAGACAAGAAACAGCCAGATACCATGGTACACGCCTGTAATTCCAGCAGCTCAGAAGGCTAAGGCAGGAGGATGGCAAATTTAAAGCCAGCCTCAGGGCTGGGGATGTGGCTCAAGCGGTAGCGCGCTTGACTGGCATGCGTGCGGCCCGGGTTCGATCCTCAGCACCACATACCAACAAAGATGTTGTGTCCGCCCAGAACTAAAAAATAAATATTAAAATTTCTCTCTCTTAAAAAAAAAATAAATAAAAAAATAAAGCCAGCCTCAGTAATTCAGCAAGGCCTTTAGCAATTCAGTGAGACTCTGTCTTTAAATAAAATATTAAAAAAGGACTAGGAATGTGGCTTAGTGGTTAAGTACCCCTGGGTTCAATCACTGGTACAAAAAAGAAAAAATGATGAACATAAGTCTGGGCAAGGTGGTGCACACGTGTGACCCCATCTATTTAGGAGTTTGAGGCCAGCCTGAGCAACTTAATGAGACCCTGTCGAAAAATACAATTTAAAAAGGGGCTAGGAATATAGTTCAGCAGTATGACACTTGCCTGGCTTGCTCAAGGCCTTGGATTTAATTCCCAGTACCACTAAACAAAAGAAGAAAGTGGGAGAAAAAAGTAGGGAAACATCAAGTGGTCTTTCCTCAAAAGTCCTTATAGCCATCTGGAGACTCTTCCTGCCTGCTAGTTGACAGCTGGGATGTAAGAAATGAAATTTTCAAAGGATACACCCTGGAATCGGCTTGCCCCTCAGTGCTAATATTTCTTGTAACCCTCTCAGAGGGAACATAACCAGACACGAGCCACCACTTTCAGGCAGGGACAGAGCTCTGGCCCTCCACCTGGAGTACATTTCTAGTTTTCCCAGTGCAGTGTCTCTGCAGTTGGTGGCCAAAGTTGGTGGTCACTGTTCCAGTGACACAGCTGATACTTCTTTATCAGATTTCTAGAGGACCCAAGAGAGTCAATCCAAGGTCAAGTTTGTCCCAACAAAGTAAGAGGGTGATGTTCTTTTAACTCTTATTATAACTGTATTTAGTGCAGAGGAAATCAGTTATGGTTTATAACTTTTTAAATATTTTGGAGATATTAATGCCATCAATAGTATTCTAATTTGAGAAAAAATAACATGTTGTTTTTTATGATCTACAGACAAAATTTGACCAAAAGGGAAATGTAACTTCTTTTGGTGAGTATTTTCTTCTAAATCACTTTTTAAATCAGTGAATGAGAATCTGGTGTTCATTTGGGAGATAGTCATTTCTTAGATCTTCTGGTCCCATCCCCAAGGTCTGGATTCCTTCATTCCTACGAGGGTGAAGTTAGGGGAAGTAATCCAAAATTCTTGTTCTCTGTCAGGTGGAGAGTGGACAGTTAGGGTGTTCAGCAACAGGGCAGTTCATAGGTCCACAGTGGCATATGGCAGATGACTAGACAAGGCCCATGTAGGGCAGGGATCATGCTAAGACAACAGTAAACAAAACAGCAATGCATTACTTTTTTGTGAACAATTAACACAAAAGCAGTTAGTATTTCAGCCAGTCTCTGAAAACCATGAAGATAGTAACTCAGTCATATCAGTGGAAAACAGATCAAGTTTATCAATGAGAAGGATAGGAAGATGTGTAGGTTTATGAGATCAGACTCAAATTAACTCAGGACAAGCTTGTGACTTAACAGTCCTTTGTGATCATTATTATAAAGCACTCCCACACAAGAATCCTTCTTCTATCGTCTCCAGCTTTACTTAGCTTTACTTACCTTTGGTAGAGCTGACATAAGAGTACATCATAAATTACATTAAAAAGCAAGCAAACAAACATTGTTTTTCCTTTTAAATATCCATGTAGGACTGTGCTCAGGCTGCCAGGTGTTTAGGACCAAGTTGGTCAAAACTGCCCTTGTTCCTATCTACTCAGCTGAGATTCCTCAGAGATCACTCTTGGTTACATGTGCAAAGCTTCTTGGCTCCTTTAACTTTCCTCTACCAGTGGTGCCATCTGCCAGGATGTGTCAGGGTAGGGTTGGTATATTTTTGAGGTTAAAAATGGTTATTACAAAGACTTTGTTTTAGCTGTTGTTTCTGGTTGAAATGGAGAGTTGTCCTAATGGTGCTGAGGATGAGGGAGGGGCCTTGACATGACATCTAAACTCTTCAATTTGTTAGTTTAACCCACTGTTCACTTTTATAGAAAGGAAGAAAACTGAATTATACCAAGAGTTAGGTCTTCAAGCCAGAGATTTGAGATTTCAGCATGTGATGAGCATCACAACCAGAAACAATAGGATCATCATGAGAATGGAGGTAAAGGATTTCCTCTCATTACCATTCTCCACAGTCTTATTAAGTTATGCCGAGCCATCTCGGTTAATATCTAGGTTAAAGTCCTCCTAGAATTAAAATATCTATGTGGAATATAGGCTGTTTTAAAATTTAATACATTAAAAGAAGCATTCATTTTGCATAGATTAATTCATATGCACAACAGGCATAACACTGTTCTATGTTGGAAAAATTCTGATTTTTATTCTTGTTCAAATTTAGTCTCTACTTTGTAAAAAAAAAATATATATATATATATATATATATATATATATATATATATATTCTGGATATTCTTTATACACACAAACATATATACATACATATATATATATATACACACACATATATACACATACATATATACATACATATATATATATATATATATGCACACACACACACACATATATATATATACCTTATTTTATTATTTTTATGTGGTACTAAGAATCATACCCAGTGCCTCAGACGTGCTAGGCAAGCATTCTACCACTGAGCTATGTCCCCATCCCTACTTTCTAAAATTTTAAGAAAAAGAACCTTGATTTATAATGTATTTTTTCACTTCTATCCTGTTATGTGTAATGATAGTATATTCTTAGCTACCAAGAACATATTCTACTTTTCCAGATAGCCCAGAAATATGTTAAATTTTTTTTAATATTTATTTTTTAGGTGTAGATGGATACAACACAGTGCCTTTATTTTTATGTGGTGCTGAGGATCGAACCCAGGTCCCGCCCGTGCAAGGCAAGCACTCCACCGCTGAGCCACAATCCCAGCCCCTATATATGTTAAATTTTGATCCCATAACTTAAATTTTTATTGAAAGCTTTTTAAAATACATTGATTGTATCTTTCCTTGTCTACTTAGATCACACCAAATACATTGACTTTTCTTAGTAATGCAGCATTAACATCATTATCAGTTATTTTGATGGGTGCAAGATGAGAGTTCTGAAAGAGAGGAGGAGACAACAGGTTTCTATGTTATTGGCCCTACAGTGGGCATGGGCTTGCTTTCTGCAAAATGTTTTTGATGGCAGATTTTTGTCCATTTGTCTAGAATTAATCAAAATAACGACAATGGAAACAGTCTTCTCCCAAGTGATTTTTCTCCAGAAAACATTCTTCATTCTTGGTATCATTAGCTAGCATCCTTCAAAACAGTATGTCTTTGATGGATGGAGAGATAGACAGGTATGTGATAAAGCAAATTTGGCAGAATGTTAATTGTATAATGTAAATGGTAGATATATGCTGTTGCCTTTCAACTTCTTGTACAAAAATTGTTATAATAAAATGATGAGAAAAAGGTTAAAAAAAATCCATAATTTCTATATTAATAATATAGGTGTCACAACTGCCTCTGCTCTTTACATAAAAGATGCCAGCCTCTCTTTAGAAAAATGTCTAACTTCATGCTATTCTAAATCGGGACAGAAAGGCTGTGTTTTATCTTTGTAATTTCAAATTCACTTAATATGCTGTTTTTAAAAGAAAATTTTTCTACTTGAGCCAAACTACTTATGATGAAACTAGGTGTTTTCTAAAAATCTACTCAATTCCTGACTTTTAAGAAAACCTTTCCTTTTATTCCCTATTTTCCTCATGATTGTCCTGGAAGTCTTAGTAAATATATAATTTGAGTAATTCCAGCTCTATTGAGAATGAGAGGCATCAAGACTTCCATATATATTTAGGTTTCCTGCCTATTAAAAATATGCCTTGATTTTTTTTTTCTTTAACAAGCCAAATGAACACTGATTTGGTTTAGTTTTAATCCAAAATTATTAAAATGTTCACACTTTCATGATTTTTTTCCTATAGCTCTATAATTTGCATGTATATGAATGTATATATATATATATATATATATATATATATATATATATATGTGTGTGTATATATACATATATTCCCTGGTTTTCTTTTCAACAGTATTTAAAAGCTGTGATAACTCCAGAGTGCCTTCTGATATTAGATTATCGTAATTTAAACTTGGAGCAATGGCTTTTCCGGGAACTCCCATCACAGCTGGCTGGAGAAGGTCAACTTGTCACATACCCTTTACCTTTTGAGTTCAGAGCCATAGAAGCACTCCTGCAATATTGGGTAAGCCTGTCATATTAAGCTCTTGAGTTTGGGTGTCACGTGCTGGATGAAGAGGCAGATTGGTGTTGTTTCGGTGGCACTTTGCTAACTACATCCTCCTCCTAGACTACCAGCATTTCTAAGGGTCCTGAGTGGAGAAAGTATTGAAGCTTTAGGACTCTAGATATAGGACATAACCCTATTGTGGGCTGAAAAATTAAGATGTCAGATTTTAAATGTATTCCATTTTTTCTCTGGATTAAACTATATATTATAAAAGTGTTTACACATGATCTATTACATCATTCATTAGATCATTCTTTCATTTATCTGTACAGTCCTTAAAGGAGCTACATGATGCCTCTGTTTGAGACCTAGATTGCCAGAGGACCCACCCAAAATTATTCTAATGATCCCTCATTAAACTGATGGTCACAGTGTGTCTGGGGATCCTGGCAGGCCCTGAGGAGCAATATTCCACTCCTCACAAACCCTCTTCCCTGATAGCACTGGGACTGAACCTGGCAGGCTCTGAACAAGAGTGGTTCACTGTTTTCCTGGCCTCCACCTGTATCCTTCTCTTCTGCTTTGCTCTGCTGAGGGAATAGATTACTGCATTCCCTGCTGGGGTTAAAAAGAGTCAACAGAAGTAGGAACAAACAGTGGTCATTGATAGGCTACACAGGCAGCCGCCATGGGGAGATTAGGGTGCTCACAGTGTCCGCTGGGATATATATTCTTTCTGCCATTACATGGGGTGCCAGGAGGATTTCCTTCTGAAAGAACACTACACAATAAGCAAGGCCGGCCATCCCCCACAAGGAATAAGTTTTCAAATAAAGGAAAGTTACCCAAACCCTCCTGAGGGATGGTTACATACCAGGACCAGATAAGCCTCACAGACACCTGGATTGTGACCCTGGGCAGCTTCCCAAACTTTGCTGGGCAGAGGATTTGGTATGTCTGTGGATATTAAAACATTAGATCTGCCTAAATCTGGCTGTCTGGAGCCTCCTTCCCACCCACAGTCTTCTGAAACTAGAAGTAGCTCTTCCATACGCAGAATAACCAAGGCACTGCAGCAGGCACCCTGGATGGACTCCACTTTCTGACTGAGATCAGAAGAGTTCAGCCTTGAAGTAATTGTGCCTCTGGCATAAACAGGGTATATTAGAATTTATATTTTTGTCACTTAAATCGGTTAGTATTGTTCTTTTTGCCAACTGGTTTAGAAGTATTTCAGTTGTTTAACTAGTATAGCTTTATCAGTGCATTCCTGCTGACTATAAAATATGCTGGTGTTACCCTGAATAAGAAAAGTATACTTTTGACTTTTCACTGATTTATTATTTATTTATTATGTTTTTTAAAGTCCAAGATAAGTTATGGTTCTCAAGAGAATATTTTTCATCAGAATTTTRAGCTGTATTCCATTTACAAAGAATATAGGTATTATTTACCAACTGTAAATTTTGCATTTTCACCTTGAAATGGCCAGTTTCCTTTTAATCAATACCTCAGTCCTCTCATAATTGTCTGTACGGGATTCTCTGAGTTAATTCCCTGTCAACCAAATTTGAGCCTGATGATGACATTATGCATAATTCTTTTAACCCAGGAGATCATTTTTTAGTTGTCTGTAATAGGCATTCCAGCATTGGCCATGTTCTGAAGCATTATCAGCATTTCTAGATATTACAAGTTTCTGTATTTAATCAGAGGATTCACTGACCCTAAGTATTCTAAAAAGGTTGTTTTAATTCTTATGAAAGGTCATGTTGTTATCTAGATCAACACCCTTCAGGGGAAGCTTAGCGTTTTGCAGCCACTGATCCTTGAAACATTGGAAGCTTTAGTGGACCCCAGACATTCTTCTGTAGACAGAAGCAAACTGCATATCTTACTGCAGAATGGCAAAAGGTAAGTCTGGTGGTTTATCAAGTTGGGAGCTAGTGATGAATGTCTTCAACTTCTCTCAGAAGTTGTAGCAGTGGGGCTGGGGATGTGGCTCAAGCGGTAGCGCGCTCTCCTGGCATGCTTGCGGCCTGGGTTCGATCCTCAGCACCAAATACAAACAAAGACGTTGTGTCCGCCAAAAAATAATAAATAAAACTCTCTCTCTCTCTCTCTCTCTCTCTCTCTCTCTCTCTTTAAAAAAAAAAAAAAAAAGAAGTTGTAGCAGTGAATTGTCAGCATAAACTTATATGAAGAATCAGTGTGGTTTTTATTTATTTATTTATTTATTTTGGTGCCAGGGATTGAACCTAGAGGCACTTAACCACTGAGCCACATCCCCAGCCTTTTTTTTTTTTTTTTTTAATTTTTGAGACTCACTAAGTTGCTCAGTCTGGTTTTAAACTCTCAATCCTTCTGCCTCAGCCTCCCGAGCTGCTGGAATTACAGGTGTGTCCCACTATGCCTGGCATAATTCTTGTTTTAAAAATACCAAGTAGTCTTGTTAATGATAATGATTCTTTTACTTTATGATTTAGTCATATTATCTTCATTGCTATATTTGTGTTTGGTTATTATTAAAATCATATGTCTTCACAATTTTTTTCTAAAACAGGGTAGCACAGCTGGAAAGTTGAGCTTTAATGTTTATGGAAAAGGTATTTTGCTTGAAACACTCTATAAGGCTTGTCTGTAATTTTGTCTCATCCTACTGGCACCCCCAATCAGTAGCTGATGTTGTCCTCACCTTGAAGATGAGGGCATTGAAGTTTAAGTAATTCATGTAAACTTACATAATTAGTAAACGACAGATCTAAATTCAGATCCAGTTCTCTCTCCCTCCATGGTTCGTGTTCTTTATTAAAAAATTTGTAATGCATTCTAGAATTTAACAGCAGTATTTTAATTTGTATCACAGATTGAATAAACAAGCTCTCAGATTTGTACTCCCTAAACTCCTTCAAAAGAATTAATAGTTAAGGCCTAGGGATGTGGCTCAATGGTAGAAAATTCCTTGGATAATCAAGATCTTAGTGTAATCCCTAGCACTTAAAAAAAAAAAAAAAGATGATGACAAAAGAAATTGTTAAAATTTCTCATTCATTAGGAGTTTTTGTTCAAAAATGTTGAGGTGTTTTTATCAGTTAAGAGTAAATAATCTGGAGCTGAGGGTATGCTTGTCCAGCAGGCATGTCCCTGGGTTCCATCCCCAGCAACACACGTACACAAAGAGTAAATGGTCTTTTAAACAAATAAAATAAAGGTATTGTATCCAAAATAATAATAATAAATTCCCAAACCAGAAATCTTGTTTGTGATAGTGAGGATTGAACCCAGGGATTAAACCCACTGGGTGGGTGTTCTACCACCGAGCTACACCCTCAACCCCCTTTGGGGGTGGGGGGGAGATTACCAGGGATTGAACTCAGGAGCACTCGGACACTGAGCCACATCCTCAGCCCTATTTTGTATTTTATTCAGGGACAGGGTCTCACTAAGTTGTTTAGCGTCTCGCTTTTTGCTGAGTCTGGCTTTGAACTCGGGATCTTCCTGTGTCAACCTCCTAAGCTGCTGGGATTACAGATGTGCATCTCTGCGCCTGGCCCTTTTTAATTTTTGAGACAGTGTCTCGCCAAGTTGCAGGCATAATAATAAATTCTTACGTAATAATTATTGTATTTTTTTTAACAAGTTGCTATTTATGAGTGATAGGTAGACGAACTTGATAATATGCCCCAAGAAGGTACCATTCTTTCAGCGGAAGGCTACAAGTTAATGCTTTTGATTGTTTCTGTATAACTGTTCCTACAGTCTGTCAGAGTTAGAAACAGATATCAAGATTTTCAAGGAGTCAGTTTTGGAGATCTTAGATGACGAGGAGCTGCTAGAAGAGCTCTGTCTGACGAAGTGGAGTGACCCACAGGTCTTGTGAGTATGGTCCTGTTTGGTTATTTATTCTGCAGGGTGAACCTCTGTCTTCTAGGGCTCATAAAGTAGAGAATACAGCCTCCCCCCTTTTTGTAGTTATAGATGGACAGCATTTATTTATTTATTTATKTATTTATTTATTTATTTTTATGGAGTGATATCAAACCCAGTGCCTCACACATGGCTAGGCAAGCGCTCTGCCACTGAGCTATAGCCCCAGCACCAGAATATAGCCATTTTTCATCCTGAGTTGATTCACTTTTTACCTGTGCAGTACTATGCCCTAACATTGCTGAGCCAAGGTGAATCTAAACACATAGTTACCTTCATCCTCAAGAGATGAAAGTTGGCACACGCATCTACTGAAAAGTTGAATATTTTTTTTAAATACCCCAAATAGTTTGTTCTTTGTAGAATAGTATCAGAAATGAATACAGACATCTTTATAATATATGTAGTTTCCATGATTTGTACAGATTTTGTTAAGCATGTTGAGAAATTAGCTGTTTACATTCTAACGAGATACTAAGAGCTGTATGGTGTTTGTAGATAACCTTTAGACACAGTAGCAGGAACTTGAACTCACTCTTTCTTGCTTTGCTCTGGTTTATTCATCTCTAAAATGCTTAAAAATTTAAATATATTATTTAAATTTTCTTAGTGGAGGTTATATATATAAAGGAAAATAATGATGTATTAGTAGCATTCAGAAACATTTCTTCAGATATGAAAATGACATGTTCACCTTGGAAAGAAAATGCTGTTTATGTTCATTTTTAATTTTGGTTTTACCTGATGGTGGTCTTAGATATGCACTAATTCATCATCATTTTACATTTGAATTTTCCTCTGATTTCACATACTTGAAGGAGTCTGTTGGATGGGGGTCATCGAATATTGTGACGTTAACTAGTCTATATAATATTGGAATCTTTGCCCTCAAGTTATTTGTATATTGTTTTAAGATCAGTTGAGGCCAGAGTCATAGACAAAGCTAGTTGTTTCTCTGGTGGCCAAATATCATATACTAATTCAGAAACTTTTGGGTACTAAATGTGTGATGCACATTGAGGGCATGTTAATTATGTTAACTTTTTAAATTCAAGTGAGAAGAGCAGTACCGGGATTGACCATGCAGAAGAGATGGAATTGCTCTTGGAAAACTATCACCGATTAGCTGAAGATCTTTCCAATGCAGCTCGGGAACTGAGAGTACTGATTGATGACTCACAGAGTATTATTTTCATCAATCTGGACAGGTAAGAAAACATTATATGAAACAAGTATTTGTAAAAATTTTTATAAAGTAATAAAGATTTTAAGGAAATGGAATTTTGGAAGGAATTATACCAATCATCTGTAACTACTGCACAGAAGTAGGGATTTTTGCTTTGTTTAGCGGTACAGATTTAATACCTGGAGTCTTTGTTAGACTATGTAGTGAATCTGCTACCTAGTTGGTGARCCCTTCTGGTTGGTGTCCTCCCCTCCAGCCACCGCAATGTGATGATGAGGTTGAACCTGCAGTTGACCATGGGAACCTTCTCTGTCTCACTCTTTGGACTAATGGGAGTTGCTTTTGGAATGAATCTGGAATCTTCCCTTGAGGAGGTAAGAAGATAAAGTTTCAATATTTTAGGGATTATTTKTACTGTTTTGAAGATGAGTTTTTAGTTTTAAGTCTAACTTGTATACTCCCATAGTAAAATAAATATAAACTCACTTAGGATCTAACAATACTATCTGAATTCTATTACTGYATAAGTGTAAATTAGTCTGTTTTACACTTTGTTTCCCAAAACACCTAACTTCATATGGAGAAAATTGGCTAGTGGTATGATACCATGAGGCTGTGTTAAGGAGTTTGTTTTTCATTCATACATGTCTGGTAATGTACCTGGAAGTCTGCTTATTTTGCTCAATCATCACAACTCTGTGAAAATAGATTTATTATTCCTCTTTTGTAGATGAGGAAACATGCTCAGAAAATCTTAAGTAATTTTCCCAAGGATACTGAACTAGAAAATAACAGAATTAAGGTTCCAGCCCAAAGATTTGGCTTTCCTTGTTAACAGAGCACAGAACTCCCAAAGCTGCTCATGTCACAACAGCTTTGTGTTTCAGAGAACGTTGTGTAAATGTGTAGAGTGATCTGAACGTGCAATTGGCGTACACTGGTGTTTGAGTCTGTGTCCTAATTAGCCTAAGGGTCTGCTGTCAACCTAGTCCAGTCCACATCATCTCATGTGGACCACTGTGTTTTCAAAAAGTGKTTTTTTTTAAAAGATAACCTGATTATGTCACTCTTCTGCATAAAAATAGTCACTTTTGATTAGCTTCACAGTGAAACGCCCAGAGCCTTGCTTGGTCTGTGGGGCTTTGCCTGTGGGCTCCTCTGTATCTGTAGCCACTCTCCTCAGTGTCGCTTTTCCTGCTGCCTCCATACCTGCCGCCTTTTTTGCATAGTTAACTTGGGCATCACTGCACTGACTGCACCCCAACCTTGCCTTCCAGTTACATCCCCAGCCGGTTCTTTCCTTTCTGTCACTTTCCTCAGCTGTGCAGTTGCTTGCTCAGAGTCTGCAAAAGACCTTTAAGCTCCTGAGGTATAGCTAACAGTGCATTTTTATGCTCCCTTTGGTAAAATTTGAAACAGAAAAGGAAATGCAATACATTTGTTAAGCATTAAGTGAAAGAATAATATTATTTAAAAAGAAAAGGGCTTATTTTGGTTTTGTTAACTCCTTTTTAAATCACACATGGTGACACACACCTGTAATCCCAGCTACTCAGGAGCATTGTTTGAGTCCAGGATTGAGGGTGACCCCAGCAACATAATGAAACCCTATCTCCTGTCCCCCACCCACTGACAAAAAAAAAAAAAAATCCTTCCTATGCAACCCTAGAGACAAACCAACAGAGCAACCCATGAGATGTGAGTGGTGGGTAGTGGCTTGGGCTTGGGAAGTAGCCGGGTAAACAAGACTTAGGTACTTCATCAGAAGTACAAATCCCGTCTTTGCGTTTCCTGAGGAATAATGAAAGTGTTTATTAATCCGTGGATGTGTCTTTGCTTCCTATCCAGTCAGCATTAACATTTGCAATAGTGAATCTAAGAGAAATTATCTTTTGTGGGGTGCCAGGGATTGACTGAACCAGGGGCACCTAGCCATGAGCCACATCTCTAGCGGGTTTTTTTTTTGTTTTTTTTTTTTTTTTTTTTTTTTGAGACAGGGTCTCTCTGAGTTGCTTAGGGCCTTGCTGAGGCTGAACTCACAATCCTCCTGCCTCAGCCTCCTGTGCCCTGCTGCGAAGAGAATTTTATGACATAATTTCAGACTTACAGAAAAATTCCAAATATAGTCCAAGAATCCCCACATACCCTCAGACCATGTTCTTTCCATGTCAGCGTTTTGTCACATTTTCATCCATTTCTAGAAATGTACTTTATTTTCTTTTTTTCTGTGGCAGTACTGGGAACCAACCTATGACCTCATACCTACTACACAAGTGCTCCCCTGCTGACCTGGAATGGTTTCTGATCTCCAGGCCCTGTTTGGACTTTGCCACTGACTTCCCTAGCACTCTTTACCACAAACCAGACCTTAGGTCACATGCTGCATAGAGTTGTCATGTCTCCTCCCTCTTCAGTCTACAAGTTTTTCTTTCTCTCTCATGACCTTGACATTCAAGAAAAATACCAGTCAGTTTTGGGGCCCTTAATGTCTGCTTATGCAGACAACTTTCCTTTATCTCTTTGAAATTGTGTCCTGTAGGGAAATACTGTGAGACTGTGTAAAAAACCCTGTTTTCTTGGGATTTTCACACTCTTTTACCCAAGGCTTCGTGCGATCTAGGCAGGTGCTCCACCACCAAGCCACATCTGCAGACCTCACCCTCGAGTCTTGCCATCCACTAAGTGGCCCAAAATTGATTGTGCCTGAGTCAGATATTACTGTAATGATTACCAAATTCCCTCATTCTTGGGATTATCAGTTGGCACAGCGTGATAGAGGATTCTCTTCTCTCCTACCCACCTCCTTTTCACATATATCAACATATATATTCACGGGGGTCTTATTTTGGTCAGTTATGTTACTATTATTGTGGTGTTCAAATCATGTCTTTCATCTGGCTTCTGAGTACTTTTGACACATCCCCATCTGTTCTTAGTGCTTTTTGTGGCCTCTGGCACATCCAGATGTTCTGTAGCTATTTCTAAGTGAAGTAGACTGAAGAATCCAGGAGTTGAAGGACATACAAGAGTAAAGCGATGGCATGTTGGACACTGGATGTGAAGGCACATACCCTCAGTATGCAGGGCACTCCCAAACAGAAAATCTCCAGTTCCAGAAGCATGTCCCTTTTCTTGACTTCAAGAGGTCTCATACTGTCCTGTGTGTATGTGTAATAGCACATGGAGTTTTGARTTTGGCTAGCTTACCTCTCACTTTTGCCATATTTTGCCATTTTCAGACCTTTGGTTTAGGGGCTAAAGAACTAATCTGAAGTGAAAAACAATAGTAAGCTGTATATATTAAATCTCATTTAAACAGAATCTTTGTTTAGTAAAATAGGGTCCTCAGTTTAGACAACTGGAAATGTTTTCACCATCAAAAAACAGTTACCACTGGGTGCAGTGGCACATGCCTATAATCCCAGTGGCTCGGGAGGCTGAAGTAGGAGGATGGCAAGGTCAAAGCCAGCCTCCTCAAAAAGCAAAGCACAAGATCCTGTCTCTAAATAAAATACAAAAAAGGGCTGGGAATGGGGCTCAGTGGTCCAGTGCCCCTGAGTTTAATCCCTGGTACAAAAAAAAAACCAGTTAATACTTACCTTCCTAATTGCTCGTGTCTGACATCTAACATCATGTTAAATCCTAAAAGGCAGATTTCTGCTCAGTGAAGGATATGAGTTCCCATCAGTAATAACTGACAGATTTCCTCACAGACTCCCATGAAGCTCTGGATCCTTGTAGCTAACCAAGCCGTGGTTGGTGACCCACCACTGGCTCAGCCTTCGAGGTTCTTTCCTGTGAGAGAGTAAATTCTCACCTTGGTACATGACCTGACAGTGTACTGCTGCCCTGCGAGGGCGAATTCTGACAAGGCATCATTGGCTGCACTGCGAGGTCCCCGAACTGCTTTGGTTCATGCTGTCTGTTTTTCCATAGCATCACTGGACCTCACATTTCACTTACTATGTTGACAATTTGTTTTTGCTTTTAAAATATCCTGGGGTGCTATGGCATCCCAGCTCACAGTTTGGGCAGCTGTGGCTATCAGTTGAACACTAGTTGTATGTCCTCTAATTATCAGTGTGTAGATTTGTGTGTGGGACAAATGAAGACTAGAAGAGACAAAGCAGCTATGCTTGCTTATAGATGACTTAAAAACATATAAGTCCTCTTGGATGGTCTTTTGCTCCGTTGTCTCCATTCCTGATCTCTGGTGTGTCCAGGTACTTCTTCCTTTCTACAGGAAACAGCTGCATGAGTAACAGAAGGCTGCCATTAAACTCTAGGCAATAATTGTGAAGTTTTATCTCCAAGGAACCTAGCCTTCTGTGATTGAGATGAGCTCCTTCTCTTTTAGGACCACAGAGTGTTCTGGCTGATTACAGGAATCATGTTTCTGGGAAGTGGACTTATCTGGAGGCGTTTGCTCTCATTCCTTGGACGACAACTAGAAGCTCCTTTGCCTCCCATGGTATGAAGGGTCTGGTTCACAGCAGTATTTCAGAGAGATGATCATGGGCTCTGCAATCACATAACCTGGGCTTAAGCCTGATGGCTTTGTGAGGCCACAAAGTTAATTTATTTAGACCTCCCTCAGTGTCTCCATCAATTAAGTCAATACTACCTGCTTCAAAGGGTCATTGGGAGGACTCAATGAGGGGATGTTTAGTATGGTGCCTGGCACAATAAGAAAGAAATGTGTGGCTTTTTTTGTAGAACACTGACCAGCACAATACATTTAGAGTAATGTAATTCTTGCTTAAGGTTTTGTCATAACCAAATTAAAATGTGGAAGACAGTATTCTCATTAAGAAAAGCTATAACAGTTACCTCCTGTTTTTCATCTGGGTTGAAGATGACACCACTGGAATAAGGACCTTAGATACTGATACAGGCTTACAGTCTTCCTTTCTACAGGATTTTACTAGAGGCTTTTAAGAAAGACATGAATTAAAGTCAAATTTCCTGCTTTATTTAGATGGCCTCTTTACCTAAAAAGCCCTTTCTGGCAGATAGAAGGATGGAACTGAAGCACAGCCTCAGGCCGGAGGGACCTGGATCCAACAGGACCGTCCTGACAGATCGTTAGCAACAACCTGGTGCATGCTAAATGTTTTTTATATTTCTAATACTACTATTACTTTGTTTTTATAGTCATGTACTTGAAAAAATTTGATATTTAAACTATGACAGGCACATGTAGAATTCTCAGTAAAGAAGTACTTGTTTTCTAAAAGGGCAAAATTCTGTTTCCTACAAATAGTTTTTATAGATAAGAATAGACTGTTATGTGCATTTAATTTATACATACTATGAAGCCTAGGCACTTGAGAAACCCATACTGAGATCACATAGCTGCAGTTCTTGGTACAGGGATCATGGACCTGTGAATTTCGTGACTCAGGGGGCTGAAAAGCCAATTTAATACATGTTAACCCTAAAACAAACTCTGGACGTTTGTGCTTTAAAGTCGATCATTGGCATAACCTTATATTGTGTTTGTCCCTTTTACAGGTGTAAGGCATATTTTAAAAATTTAATATCACTATTATGTGGATTCCAAGTAAGATTTCACTTTTTCAACCCCTGAAACTTTTTGTTTAAACAGAACTTTTGGAAGTTGAAAGGAAGTGTTTTCATTCTGTTACTGTTTAGACCACCTCCCCACAAAATGAAAACATAGCTTACCCAATCAATATGCCTGTACCTCAAAAGTTAACAGATAGGATTCCTAAGACAAGAGGAAGGTAAATGTTAGAATTCTGGTACTTTTAATTTCCACAGTCGGAAGTCTGGCTTTAAAAGATATGGCTAATATAACTCTGAGAGCTGCTGTCCTACTTAACATCTCCTCTGCTGTTTTGTGTTTACTGAGGGTTCACTGCAGTTGGATGATAGAATGCTACAGTGAAAATGTGCCTCCAGAGCAGCTCTTATACTGCAAGTGTACTAGTAACAAAAGTGCCAGCATGCCCACTCTGATGTTGAGGATGCCCGATTACCCCAGTGTTGCCCTGTGTGAGGAAGTTTAAGGGGCCCTTTACCAGGTGGTTTGGTGATGGCAGTAAAAATGTTATTCCAATAGTTGATTTGAAAGAAAATTGATTTCCCCCACTCCTGTGGGTGGTTGAGGGAAGCTGGAGAAAGAACCTGTGGCAGGAAATAGGCCGGGCTGGTCTTGGGATGGTGCACCTCACTGTGGGTCAGGAGGACCCCTCATGGTGTGGATGCTGGCATGTGACGTGCCGTACCTCTGGTATTACAAACCCTTTGGTAATAGTTGGATTTCACAGGGCACTCTTCTTTGGCACACCTCAAAACTTTGTGGGTTTTTTTGTTTTGGTTTTGGTCTTATCACTGTAAATAGGTAACTTACCTTAACTGCAATATATAAAGAATTGGAATCCCAGAGGACAAAGTGTGATTTTACTAAGATCATGCATAGGACCATTTTTCCTTGTAGCATTACTGAATTTATAAGCTTGGGTAAAACAATTTTTTGATTAGTCATGTCCCATGAATAAAAGGGGAAATATAATTACCTCAAGTCTGATAAAGGAAGTACTAAGGTTTATAAAATTCTTGAAGGTGGTTAGATCAGGTGTGAGTTCAACATTGGATGGCTATGCTTTGGGGACTGCAGGATGCTTCTCACATTACTAGTCCTCATGAAAAATAAAAACTGAAAAAGAGGATCACCGATTTTACATTTTGAACTAAAATAAATGGAGCATGTAAAAGTGATAAAATACAAAACACTGAGTTATGTGAGGAGGGAAGCAGCACAAGGTCTGATACTCAGACTGTCTTTGTGGCCTTTCAAGATGCTATTGAGCCTCGTTTGATACTTAATAAGCAGCGACTGAAATAACACTAAACAATTTCACGTTAGAAAGCTGATTTGGTGAGTTAGTACAAGAATGGCATGCGGTTTCCTTTCTTTGGCACTGTAAGACCAACATCACACTTTGAATCAACTTTCATTACTTTAGTAATAGCTACAGAGGTGATCTAATGGATAGTGCATGGAGTAGGGACTCAGACCTGAGTTTTGCCCCCAAGCTCACCTCAGATTATTTTACCCTTGGATCCGTGATACAAAGGCATAAAAACAGTTCCAATCTTGAAACTGATGAAAGTTGTTACAGATGAAGATAGGAAATGTAAATATGTAAATTCTGATATTGTGAAATAAAAATAATTGTATTAAGCTGATTTGTGTGAATGAGACCTGTATAGGGTATTTCTATTTTGGTTACCAAGCATTTCAGAGTTGATGCATTCAACTACAGTTAATAGTGGGATGAAAATTTAATCTACCTATTTAGGATGATACGTTACTGACAGTTTTTTTTCCAAAGGCCAAGTTTGACAAATTTGACATTCAGGTTGACCTTCAACAGTAGGCATTTATATAGTTTTTGACAATGAGGCTAATTGGCTAAATGTTCTCTAACCTTGAAAAATGTGCTTCCATCTTTAAAGATTTTTAACCTTCTTCATCTGGTGCTTACTGTCTGTGCTGTGTTCAGACACTGAGAAAAATAGATCCTTTCGGGTAGAGAGTCACTGTTTAAACACAGGCAGTCGTTTAGTGAAGCACAAAAACACTGATACTTACATAATAATGGCAATAGAAAGATGCATCTTTAAAAGATCTAATACTGAGAAAAACTTTTCCTGAATGCAGTGTCAGATGTCATCTGAGTTTGTTCTACACTCAGACCTCTCAGCTCAAAGTGAATAAGCAATTTCCAGTCCCCTACAAATCACCTTACTTTTAATTAAAAATTATTCAAAGAGGTTGAGCTGCCAGATTATTAGCCAAACAAACTAAATGTTATTTCTGTGTGCTTTTTGCTGTGCCATAGGAAGCCATGCAGCCAGCACAACTCAGAAAAATGAGGGGGCTCCAGGTGCGGGCCAGAGGTGCCCTCTGGGTGCATGCCCGTTTGCCCCACTTTCCTGTGGTCACCGGCCCTCTGCTCACATCTTGGCTACAGCTGTTCCTTTGGTTTCTGACTTCCCATTAGGATTCTTCTTCCCGTCTCTCCAGAGAAGCTGAGATGAGAAAGGCTCTTTTCGTGTATTTTCTCCTGCTTTCTCATTTACCATTATCAGAAGAACATCTCCACCAATTAACACAAAACAGTTATTGTTTACAGATAGTAACTCCTGTGACTAACCCTATCCCTGGTGTGTGCCCTGCTCGGGACTCACGAGAAAATCCACCCTATTAAGAACAGCACAAGGACAAGTGAAGCCAAGGCCCACATCCTTCTTTATGGTCCCTCACAGTAGCCTTTGGCTCAGGCTGGACTTATTTTCTGTTCTAGTCCTATGGTGTAACATAGCAGGCTAGCACAGCAAAGCCCCTCGTTGATTTCACACTAGCAGATTCATGGCTTGTCACCTGTCAGAACAACCATCTGCAAAAGCATTTGAGGGCACAACATAAGCTTTGTTATGTTGATCTTTCACTATAGAAAACATGGAAAATGCATTAATCCTCAGTAACCCCTTATGTGCAATCATTCTAAATAAGACACCTATGAAAACAAATCAAGCAGTCTTATATGTGTCCTATATGTAGGATGGGATGTAATGGGCTCGGAAAGGACCAACTCACTAGTAATTTGGGAGTGTGAGTTATCCCTCACACCTGTGTCTCTGTACTTTTTCTCCTCTTTTTCCTGTATGCTATTTGTTTTAATTGGAATTGTCCACTAACAAAAGGGTTTGCAGGGTGGAGTGGGGAGGTTGTTTTGTTTAGGAGGAATTGTGTAGAGATTGTCCTCAGAGAAAACCACGGAGAACCTTTACAGGCATTAGATGTTCAAATGGAAGGGGAAGGAGTCTGTATGGTAGTCGGAGCATAGGCAGTCAGCTAGGAAGAGAGGCTTAGGTGCCAAGGAAGTGAGCTTGAGGACACGGCGTGCACGGCTAGAGTGCTTCCTGGTTCACCGCTTCTGGTGGAGGCACGTGGTTTACTGTTCCATGTTTCCAGATGGCCTGGCTGTTGGTGCTCGGCTCTGCTCCCAGGACCCTACCATCAGAGTCCACCAGAGCTCTCACCCTGAAGATGATTCCACACACGAGAGGAGCGAGCAGAGGAGGAAGATGGAGTCAAATCTTTAATCTGAGCTGAGGCTGTAGACATGAAGTGCCCCCGCAAGCCGGGCTCCCAGAGAACTCCTTCCAGCAGCAATGACAAGCTGGTTCTGTAAGGGACACAATATGGACAGATCATTGCTAAGCTCCTCCTAAAGTTCAGGCACCTGGCTCTGGAAACTAAACATGAATAAGCTACTGGCCAGTTCTACAGCAAAGCCTTTATTTAGATAACCACTTCTCAAATCTCTAGGTTCTGAGCCACAGCTGAGGAAGTTCACCCAGTCCCCTCTTGCACATGAAGAATAATGGAAAGGTGCGTGCTTATTCCATAATTCTAGTTGTGGCCCAGTGTAGATAGCATCTCTGGAGTAGTAAGGCCTTGTGTAGGGGCTGCCTTGGTTCGTGATATACATGTCACCCCTCTGCTTGAACATTTTAGAACCCCCCTTTAAGAATTGCCTGCAAGACCTGCTGCAGATTCTTAGACATTTTCAGTGATGTCAAATGTTCATTATTAAAAGTTAGATTTGATTTGTGGAAATTGCCAAAATGATTCTGAACCAAGGCCAGTAAATGAGGTTTGGGTGACCAAACAGTGGCACAGATGTTTTGGTCAGAGCACTGAGTTTTTCATCAATTTGGTTTTGAAACACTAGTGATGGGATGGAGGGAGAATTGATGGCTAAGATGTATTGAGGCTTTACCGCATGTCAAATATCTCTCCCAGCTAAAAGGGAAAACATCTAAAAAGTAATTTCTTCTCCTTCCCTTCCTTATTTAAGGATTACTGATTGACTGCATGTGCTTGTCATTGGCTCTTGTCTGTCCCCTTCCCATTTCCTGGTCCAGCCAGTTCGCTTCATAGAATCAAATCCTCCCTAGCTGTTGCCTTCAAGGCAGAATCTGCTCATCTTCCCAGTGCAGGTTGGGGCCCACAGGCCTTCCCTGACCCGGCCAGCATAGGCATCACTGTGGTCAACTGGCTTTTTGTTGTCATATTACCTCCACGTCTCATAGGCATGTTTTATTCTGCTACCTAACTATAAGGTCCTGGGGACTGGGCCTCGGGTTCTCTTGTCCACCTCTGGTGCTCACAGTCCATCCGCGAGTTCTGCTCTGGCACCTCCTGAGAAGTTTCACAATACAGATGCGGGCAGCACCACCTGGGTAAGTGTTAAGGCCTCCGCATTCTGGTTTGTTGCTACCAGTTAATCAAATGCATGGATTAATTAATATCTAATTATTAATGGTGTTAATGAAATGTATTAAATTTTAAATAAAATCCAAACTTATGATTAAGTATTGTTTCAAAAATCTTCCATAAGCTTAATCCATGTTTGTGTAGTGCTCAGCCTGAACCTTTGCTGAGAGGCATGGCTGTAAGTGAGCCAGCCTGCAGTGCTGGCCACTGGAGGGCGGTTTCACCATGCTCCTTGCGGGCAGGATCCTGGCTCAGAGCCTGCCAAGTCCTTAAAGTCTGAGGCCTCCCAGACCTTCTTCCCAGTTAATGCTTCCTGGTCACTCTGCTCTGCAGTGTTTAATCCTACACCAGTTTGCATTTTATTCAATTTCTCATGTGTATGTTATTTCTCAAAATCAGAGACTTTGCTTATATTTAATAGTCTAGCACAGCTCTGCACAGTATCATACACATGCAATTAGTGGTTTAGAGGTATAAATTAAGGTAAGACTCTTAAATCTACTACATCTACTAATTTTAAATGTATACACGCTTTCATTTAGTAATTGTTGCTTACAAGAATATTTGCAATTATATGAAAATACAGATTCAAGAATCAAGAAACCAAAAAAGAAATGACCTAAATATCAGAGAATCTGAACTGGAGAACTGAAATATGATAAATTCAGACAACAAAATACTAGGTAGCTACTAAGAACAGGAAAGGAGCAGGTAGCTCAGGTACTTCTCTGGGAAGACATCAAACAGTACATAAAAATGAAACAGTGGCCCTGCATGTGTCTGTCTCTAGAGTCCCTTAAGAGCTGCAAGTCTGGAAGAAAATAAAATACGAATAGTGGTTTTCCAGTAGGACAAGCGTCAGCAAATTTTCTGTGACAAGCCCCATAATAAATAATTTAGACTTTGTGAGACATCAGTCTCTGAAGTTACCACTGTAGCATAGCCATGGATGAATGAGTATGGCTAAGTTCCAGTGAAACTTCATGGGCATGGGTTTTAACTTCATATCAATTTCACATGTCATAATATTATTTTTCAGCTATTTAAACACATAATGACCATTTTAGTTAATGGCTACTCTAGAACAGGCAGTGGGCTATAGTATACCAACAGCCTCTGCCGTAGGGGATAAAATAGGAGTAAGAAGGGGAACTTTTCATTCAAAAACATAATGAGATTATGTGAGTGCTACCTTTGTGCTAATTTTCAAATAAAAATAAAATCTAAAGTTGTTGAAGATCACCAAATCATGGCCTTAGAACAGATATAAGCATCAGAGAAGTGCAGTCCATACACTTACCTTCTCCTTTGACCTCACAGCCATCAGAGAGCTCCCAAACCTTGAACTTGCCTGTAAGACATACTGACAGTGGGCATCTGAAGCACTCCACTGTGTTTCATCAGTTGAAGTAAGGGGAAAGGGCATTTTCTGGCAGTTTTCTTTCTTCGGTCCTTCAGGAGGTACTTACCTCAGGAGAAATCAATACATATTGGGCCTGGGAGGATTTTTTTAAAAGGGGAGGAAAGGGAGCTATTAGTACTATTGCTACTATTTGTGTGGATTTTTAAACAATTTTACAATGTACCTTTATGCTCGAATTTCAACATTTCCAGATACTCCTTAGGAATGTGCATGCCCTTTGACCCTAGAAACTTCATTTATAGGATATTAGCTCCAAAAAAGTAACCAAATGTATAAAAATGCTTCTGAATATTTGCCATTGTATTACTTACAACAGGGAAAATTTACTGATGTGACCAATAATCATCACATTAATAATGGTTAAGTTATGGTTCATAGATAAATAGTAGGCAGCTGGCAAACATAAGATACTTTTAAGCTGGCATAGAATATCAGATAATAGCAATTGGGGTTTCATGGACTCTTGTTTCACTGGTG